CCCCCACAAAACTAGAAGTCTAACCCAGTTGTGAACATACTCCCTGCATCCCCTCATCAGGCCTCGACTGAAAGTGGGATGTGGGAGATAGATAGGATTTACAGTGGCAAGTGGGACTTTCCATTTGTTTCAAGGGCATTTTGTAAAAGTCCACACTGTCATGGCTACAGCTAACTTGGTTTATCTGCCTGTCTAACATCTTCCTGCTGTAGACCTTGTCAAAAACTGAGCACTGGAAGTAAACTATACAATTATTTTAAACCGTTTTTCCTTGCAAGTTGCTTGTAAACCTGTCTTTAATTCCTGCAGATGTATTTCACATTCAAAGTATTCACCAAACAGCTTCAGCCAAAAAAATATCAGTGTAGGGTCTGTTTTCTAGAATTATTATTTGATCTGTTTACTTTTTTTACTTCTGATGGATGAATGATTCCCTACATGGTGAGGTATGATTTCTGCTTCTTGTCCCAGAGGATTGTAAATTTTTTTATCCAAGGAGTAAGAAACTATAAAAAGAAAGACGCAACATACAATATATAGCCTCTTCTGCAATACGGATATAGATGACATTTATCCGGCGCACATCCCTTAAACAGCCATTTCTACAGAACATAACACTCATTCATGGATAAGAAAATATAAAACTACAAAGCTAATAAAACTTTGGAGCTATTAAGTATCAGCCCCAATCTTTGCCCTGTTCTGCAATATTCATCTGGGGCTCTGACAGACTTAGCCGTGGCATTAATGTGTTACTGATTTCAGCTGTCTACAGACTCTCCCCTGGTTACTGCTGCTGTGGTGGGAGTGGTGGAACGGATGTTGTCTCAGTCGCCCCCATTCAAAGCCTGGTACATTACTTTAAATCACCAATGAAACAGAGTTGTGTTAAGATGCCAGATCGTGAACTGCAGCAGCTGAGGTACACAGTTAAACAGATTTAATGGGTCTTTTGCTTTTGAAAAGAATAGCTCCCTCCTCCTCTCTGTGGAAGGATTGGAGGCGAGAGTCAGGGGGAGTAATAGCATAAAGGAGTGCAGATAAATCAGCCAGAGTGTGACTATCAAAGCCACACTTCTAATTTATAAAACTTTGTTTCCTGACATAAAAATAAATTGGTAATGGGATCTTGTTGGGTTGTTTTATTTGTTTCTATCCCAAATATGTTTTTCTGATCCCGGGTACTCTGTCATATCTCAGCAGGCTATTGATCTGCCTGCCTGGTTTCTCATCAATGGCAGGTACTTAACAGGGAAGGTGAAAGTTTCACTTGGAAACCACAGATAGGGATGTCTGGGAATAAAAACGTATCATTCAAAATAATTAATATTAATTTTTTATCTTTTGATACATAAATTAATCTTTTTAATTAAAAATTCTGATTCAGGTTATATTTTTTGTCTTAGCACTTTGCTGGCTGGCATAAATCTGGTAAGGCTGCTCTACAGCCTTGTGGCTTTTTTTCCCATTTCAGCACCATTTCCTTTTAGCATCTCTCTGCAGTTTGAGGTTTTCTTGGTCTTCCTAGAAGTCAGAACTGGTAAACAGACTGCTTTGAAACACACAGAACAAGAGAACTTTTGTCAGGAAAAAGTGGATTAACGGGACACACTTCTTGCTGTTAAAAAGCAGTCCTAGGTCTCACTGATGGACAGCTGGTGTCTAACTTCTCTAATGCAAGATACCACTTGCAGTCTGGTCAGCAATCGTGCCATTGCCTGTAGGGAACTGAAAACCATATTTATTTTTATCCTGCTATTGGCTTATGGGATTTGAAAGTACCTTTTTTAGCTTGCATAACGTAAATATTGTTACTGGACCTCCCAGTCTCTTCTCAATGCTTGCTCTAATATTTGACCTTCTAACCTGCTCCAGGAGATGGCAAATTCCACAGGCTGACGACACGCTGGGTGAGGGAGTGTCTCCTGTTATGGAGACTTTCAATTCTGCTGAGTGAGCTCCTGTTCTCCTGCTTTAGTATAGGCAAAAAAGTTGGGGACTGATCAGTTCTCCTTAGAGCCTTCTTAAATCTTCATTGCCTCTTCCAGCTCCCACCTATGCTAGTTTTCATTCTATTGTTACCTGTCTGACATGGCAATGTGAATGTTGTGTAAGAAATACCAGCACTACTGTGCAACTGCTTCAGGCACAGGAATAAATGAATAAATACGAAGAAATAAATAAACAGAATAAAAATTCCTATTTTTGTATGGTATCATAGTTAACTTTCATGCCTGTTCCTGCTGCTCCGTCCAGGAGCTCTTTCAGGAGGAGTGAGTCATGCATTACCATCCCAGAGTGTGCAGTGCACATTCCCACAAGCTCTTCATAAATCCACAGCTGGGAACTTCCAAGGAGACACCTGCTCTGTACTCAGAGCAGGGACTCAAAAGAGGCTTTCAAAGGTGCTTTCATCTGAAAGGCTGCTTGTTTTTTTCTCCACCACTGGTCACTCCTTTCCTCACTTGTCAAGTCACTTCATTGCCAGGGGCCTCTGCTTGTCTTATCTATATGTTGTGAATCCTGATTTAGGATCCTGCCGACTTTGCCGAATAGTTGCAAATGGGTGATTTAGCTTTCTCTTAAAGAATCCCCATCAAAGCTATTAGGGAAAGTGGGTTTAATATGATGTTGTAAAAGTATGACTTATCAAAATTAGATGTCAAGCTTTATTCTATTACTGTATGGCACAATCATCTGAACAATGATTCAAAACTACCAAGACACAAATCAAAGTTACCAAGAAAAAATCAAAGTTGCCAAGGCACAAATAAAAGTTACTATACTACAAGGTTATGCACTATACTGGTCACTTACCAAAGGTCTTGTTGATGAAGGGTCTCTCTGCCTCAAGGAGCAACCTTGAGAGGCATGCCAGCTCTAGGGAAGATCATGGCCATATAGCCATAGTGCTTTGCCAAGAGAGCGCAAAGAAGGCTCACTCAGGCTGTCATATTTATGGAATAAAGTGGTTGGCTTGTAGTCAAATTACATGCGATGGGAAAGGTATGCATCAGATTCCTTCTATCCACAACTTTCTTTGTTTCTTGATAAATGAGTCTTGAAAAAACCACCCACTATTCATGTGTTAATCACATGATCGGTGTTCCAAGCTCATATGCATCGATGCTCACTGTGTCACCCTGCTCCTTTGTGGGTTTTCAGAGAAAAGATTGGAACTAGAGGAATTCTTGTCCCATTTATAGCTTAAGCCTTTACCTCCTTGAGAGCCTGAACCAAACTATCGCTAGATTGGTTAAGGGCTTGAGTGCATCAGTCACACTGTGTTTTTTCCCTCCCCTGATAGCACTGTATATTTTCTGGGCATAAGTACGCAAGAATCTGTGTGCACTCATTTATATTCTGTACTGTCTGGTGACTTCATGAAATCCCTGTAAGATGTCGCAAAGAAAATCTCAATAGCATTATTTTTCTTGTGGCAACCTGTGTAGAGGTGGATAGAAACACTCCACACCTTTCTGCTCTAGAAGCAGGTAGGTATGTTCTTTTCAAGTTTGGAACTTAAAAAACCTTTAACCTTCTGGGCTTATTTATTTGAGTACTGTAAAGGCTGGAGATGCTGAGGATCACTTTTGGGTCTTCACTTAATCTCAAGATGTGGTGAAAGAGAAAAATCTAAACCCAAGATTTTTCAAAAGTTTGTGAGCATTTTAATTGGTGAAGTTGTTTTCTTCACCTATGAAACCTGGGCCTGAAACTTTCCATTGGGTAGAATGATTTAATATACAAGGAGTTAATTTGACTTTTTATGTAGCATCATTTCCTTGTCCTCTTTGCCATTTGCCCCCAGTTCCTGACTTACTGGCATCTATATTTTCCCCCTTATTATCTAGTTCTAGGAAAGCCTAACATCTCTCTTCCTCAGTCCTAAATAGAGTACATTTTCACTAGCTGTGACAGCTGCCTGTGTATCTTCCTTGATTATCATGCCTCTTATCTGAGCATAACTTTTCCCAGGTCTTCCAAAACCGCTCTGCATCTCAGTGGAGATGCATTTGCAGGATCAGGGATTCTTGGTCTTTCTAATTAAGGATAATTCTCCTGATTACTTCCAAGGGCACAGATCTTTCCATTTTAGTTTCTTTGACATGGGCCAAAGAAATATTGAGACCGCAGATAGACTTCTTCATTTTCAAGCTGAAGGATGGTTAAGACCATTACAGACAGAAAAATCATCTACAGAATTTGTACCCTACTGCCAACCTACACAGGAAGCTGTGCCCTGGGCGATGCTTCATAATCTTCCCTTCTCCAGAGTTGTCTGAAGTGCAGATCTGGACTTGAACTTCTGAAGTTTGACAGGTGTTTGTGATCTGGGCTTTTGATTCCATTTCATCTCTAATAGTTTCCTTAGTTTCCTTTTCCAAATGCTTGGGTAGTTGCCCTTTCCTAGAACACATACTGAGCACAAGAAACACCCTTCTTAAAAAACACAAACACTCCAAAGAGGAACACAGAGAACTGAAAGAGCTTCACCAAGAAGTTTTGTTTCTCTGTAAACCCTACATAGGAAACCCTGGCCTCTGCGCTCCCTCAGCATTTGCTGTATTTGTTTCTTTTCCTCCTCTCCAGATCGGGAGCATTTTCTGCCAAACAGAGAAAGGCTTTGTGAGATGAGGAACGGCTCAGATTTTTGCAGCTTGTAAAGTACGTGCTGCCTCCTTCTGAGAGCTGAGGGCTAACTTTTGCCCTGCTGTCCCTCCTTCCCCAAAAAGCAGCTCTTTTTAGTAATACCCCTCTTCTTACCCACATTTTTCTGGAAAAAGGCTCATAACAGCTCCTGGCAGAATAAGGCAGAGATCCTGTTACTACCTTTTCTTCAAAGGAGAACAGACAAAACAAGCAGTACTGAGATTTCAAGGGGAATTGGCTGCCAAAGCTAAGGAGAGTATTATAAGAGCGGTGGATATTTTCCCCAAACCAGGGGATCTTCCCTCCTGCTTCTCCCTCCCGCGGGTATTTCCCCGAGATGGACTCACTTGCAGATTGATGCTCTCCCCTTCTGAGGCCATCCTTGTGCCCTCAGTTCCCTTCCTCTGCAGCCGGCGCACGGAGCAGGACACTCTGCACTCCCGGAGACTCTCTTCGCTGGACCGGGACGCACAGCTGCTGGAACAGACCTGCTATTCATGTGCCGGCGGCCGCCCGCCCGCCTTGGCATCAGCTGGGGGGGCGAGAGAGGGGGTGGCACACCAATTCTTCATTGTCCAGGCAGTCCCTGGAACAAGCGTCCTTAGACTTTCCATGACACTTGTGTTCATTACATGTCTGTGCTACCTCTCAGAGTCCAGCTGAGCTTCATGAGGTCACTTGGGCTGGGACGCGGTGATGCAGCCAGTGTACCAAGAGGTTCCTGGCATGGGCTGTGCAGCCGGAGCAGTGATCCTGGTCTCTCCTTCTCTCACCAACGCACAGCAGAGCATATGGATTAAAACCTAACTGTTGAAGTGGTTAGGTCCAGAAAGCTGTGCCTGCTAGCTGCTGCTGCAAAGATACGGTTACATCGCAGATAAAATTTACACTTTACTCTATAGTCCCTTCTTCTCATTTCTCTCCCCAGCCAAAATGCCTTTCCTTTTCCCTCCCCAGCACTTTTTTTTTAGAGGAATTTGATATGTCTGGTCTTAGCTGAAATGAAATCTTTCTTTTTGCTTAAGTTAAAAACAACTACAACTGACATCGGAATGCAAATGTGTGCAGCCAGAACCAAGTCACAGTGTAGAAAAATTTGTTGTTGCTATTAGGTGGAATCCTCAGGCAGAAACATTAGTGTAATTCTCTAGATTTTAAAGAAACTCTGCAACTCTGTACTACCTGCAGACCAGGTAGCCATGTTTGGCTTTTGAGGCACAATTTCTATAGTTACAGTAGCACAGAAAACTTATGCTCAGTAATATATTCTGTTTAAACAGTTTAACCGAAGGCATGTTCTAGTACTCCAGCCTGACTGAAAGTGCTGACAAGTCTGTCAGTAGACCATCCTGTTGCATTGATGCTTCCCAGCAAAAGGCCTCAGTTTGCAATGAAAATACCAGTACTTAGTATTGCAGGTTCATTTCAAAGTGCTGATGCATTTTACCTCTCTGCATTCCTATTAGACAGCTTTTCTCTTTTGCACCCCCCTCCCCTTCTTTTAAGCAGTGAGATGTGTTTAGGGACCATGCTAATGTCACACAGAAAAGCAGGGCTGGGATAAAGCTCATTTCATCCTTAGGGCTTGGCCTAAGGCTGAAAGCCCATCAGGAACCATGAGGCTGATTCTAAAAAGCCAGCCTTTATGGTTCCTACTTTTGAATGAAAATGAAGATCCCTGTGTCTTGTTATTACCAAAGTGGTTGTTTAAATCCCACAGAGAAATGGGGGTGAGGGGAAAGAGGCTACTCATTGCTACTTTTCAACACCTGTTGGCTTTGATTTCTTAGTGTTTTTTTAATGTAAGGAGCATTTGACCCAAAATGCAGCCATCTGATGCTGTCATTGACTTGTTCTCCTGATGGGAATCTGTATGTCAAATAAAAACTCCTTGTGGGTATACTAATGCACAGATGTTAATACAGATAATTACCTGTTTCAATTCACTTTTCTTAGTGTAGTCTATGAAAAGATGTTATGTTTGATCAGTTTATAGATAAATATTGTTTATTAATAGGTAATTTATGCCAGATGGGTGTCCGCTGTGTGTGTTGAGGCACTCCTGGGAATTAAAAGGATGTCATGTTCTGCAGGTCCTTTGTTAACAGGCTTCCAGCAAACAACCCATGAAGTCTGGCCAAAGTTTTCTGAGTTCCTGTATGTGCCATAAGCATAAAAATAAGTATGAAATGTTTTCTACTGGTTAGACAGGAATGAAGTATCTATCATTTTATTCAGTAGATAAATACCACCAGTGTACAAATTTAAGACAAGACTTCATGATATATAACAACATGCCTTTTTAAAACTATTCTTTCTTAGTTATCTAGTTATCTAAATGTTATGCTAGTGGCTTTTTTCTTTTTTTTTTAAACACTCTCCAGAGAGCTATTGCAAAGAGTAATAATCTTGCACTATGTCCTCAGAATACCTACAGAAATCAGTCAAAAATTACAGTAACCCTTGTGTCCTTGTGGGCACTCCAATCAAGCCAGGTTCTCAGTGCCATCTCTGAGGATAACATACAAGTGTCTTTCTGCAAAGCATATTGATCATAATGGCTGCATCAGTATGGTGGACTCCTCTGGGCCACTCTACTAGCTGAGGAATTCCCATCAGGCCTTGGCCTTTGTGTAATGAGTTGGGCAGTGAAGTGTCCCTTGACCGTACCAGGAACACTTGCATGGCTAAGGTGGGAGGCGGCACTGAGCATACCAGGGATCCTGTTGCCTGGCCAAGGTGGGAAGCAAAAGTGGGAGTAATCAGTCATCCCCTGACAGCCTCGGAACATTCCTTCCCTTGATCGTAGCCCGAGTGGAACGGTACCACTGTTACTGGAGTTTTGAACAGTTTCTAGTAATTACTGACTCGGGCTGTGGCCAGGATGGAAATTTACTGATGACTAAAGCCAGTCATCTTGCAACCCTGCACACAGTGGTCCTAAGTGAGGCCCTTTGTGCTCCCGTGGACCACATGGGGCTGCGACCAGCACCTCCCTCCAAGTGGGAGGCCCCTCGGAGGTCACGAACTCTCAAGTTTGAGATAATTGGAGGACTGCTGCCAAAAGCTGATGGTGGGGCCTTGGTCAAAGACTCACAATTTTTCAAGGCTCAACCCTCGCCCACTGAGAAATGCCAAGACATTTGATGGGAGTATGTCACTGAACTCAAGGGGAATTTTTAACAGGTATACCTTTATACTCTGTACATATACACATGTACATATATATTTGTGTCTGTGTGTGTGTGTGTGTGAATTGACTTAGATACCATATAGCAAGTGTAGTAAATCCTATTGACTCTGTAAATATTAAAATCCACCTTAAAGCTGCAGACTGTTGCTAGGTAAAAGCCATGTAAAAATCCCATCTGTGGTGAATTGGTACAATGATCCTTCAGGTGATCCTAATAGATTACACATGAAACCCTTTAGATATAAACCATTGTCCAAGTCTGAGACTAATATTAGACCTAGCTTCATGTAAAGCTCCACTAGGAGTTTAGAAAGCAAGGGGCTCTACTCTGAACCTTGTGACTCCATGGGAGAGTCTCCCATACTCTTTTGTGCCTTTCATCTCTGTATTAATAATTTTAGCTCAGGTTTACCTTTATTTTCCTTTGTATGTTTCATCCACGCAGTAAGTAATAGAGCAAACCTTGCCACTGACCTTTTTTAAGTCACACTTTTATACATTTTATAAATTTAATAAATTTTTAAGTCACACTTTTATAAATTCGTATTAAAACTACTCTTGCTAACATCTTCGAGGTTGATTTTTGAGTGATCCTAAGCCACTCATTTTGCAACAATCAATCAGCCTCTCTTGACATGTCTGGACCCAAACAAATTAGACTAAGAAAGCTTCAAATAATAAAATTTCTCTTGGAAATTATTTTCTATGTCATTAATAGCAAAGCTCAGAGCCAAAAAATGTGAGAAAAGAGAGGAGTGGTCTTATTTTAACTTGAATTGTAAGGGCTGGCCAAGAAAGGAGTGCCTCAATGAACACAGTTCTAACTAAGATTTACTTGTTACTAAAAGTGATTACAAATAACTGAATTTTTTAAAACTATCTTTCTAGTAAATGTTAATTATGATGCAAGAACGCACCACTCTAATGGAACAAAGATTAAGCATAGAAAATGCAGCCCAGCTTCTAGAAGGGATTGTGTGACATAAGTGTCAACACTCACCAGTGTTAAGACTCAACAGCCCCCAAACTCTCTTCCAGTCTGTTTTTTATAACACAGGACAAGTGGGACACCTCCAAAACCTGGCTGTTTAATGGATGTTAATTAATCAGAGACTTTCTGGTAATGCATACTGAAGACGGATGGGGAAAGAGCAGTGTTCCTTGAAAGGAGGGTGGGGAGCATCTGGGTCATGACAAAGAACAAGTATGTGATTCTCCTTGCAAAATCAGCCCACACTAGCTGAGAGTGGAGGGGAGGCTCTGTGGATCAGCCACATTCACTTGGGAGGAGCACGCACGGCAAAGTTGCTTATTTCCACCCCCATCCTCCCTTATGCCAGCCAAAGTGTTTGTGCAGCCACTGAAGAAACCAGACACAAGAACTTCTTCCAGCTGGGGAAAAAAAAAAAAAGGAAAAAGTTGCAGGCTATTTTTTTGGCTGGGATCACATCCCTGACCTGGTTCTGCACGTAACTGCACAAACACTTATGCTGGCAGTAGGGAGGGCACCCGGCAGGGAATAGAAAAAGCAGCTGGGAGTGGAGAAGGGTGGGGACAAGCCAGTTCAAGCAACATTGCTGCTGAATGTGTAACCACAGCATTGCAGTGCTGGTGCTACCAATGGGGCCGGCCTCTGCAAAGGGGACAAGGGAAGAAGAACTGCAGTTCTTGGACTTTAGCACTCGCCAGTAGAGACTGCTGGCAGCAGAAAGCAGGCCATGCTGTGTGAAGACTCTTCAAGACAAGAACTGGTCTTCCCCACCTCTCTCAGATTTGTGGTGGTACTCAAGAGAGAACCATAACTGAGACCACAAGAGTTTCTGTAGGACAACTACACTTCTAACAGAGCAGATAATAGGGCACCTTTACTTCTTAACTCTTCCCAAACCCTGATCTTGTGTTACAAAAGTTGTTTGGTTTTGGTTTGGAGGCATCCTTTATCCACCTCTTCATTGTATCAGGAAAGAAGTATGCTACTGATCCATTAGGAGTGCATTCACCTGATTCTCTGAGAGGATATCAATAGAACTCAACCTGTTTAGCTTTACAGAATGAAAAGCAAGAAGGATGCTGATGCCAACTACAAATCCACTAAACTGGAAAACTCCAGGGAGATGAAAGCATAGCATTAGCAGAGGAACTAATTAATAAACTGGCCAAGAAAAAATGCTAGGTTAGAAATTAGAGGAAGGTTCTTGGCTGCCTAAGTGCTGATATTCTGGGGAAGCCAGCCAGTGAGAGTAGCAAGGACAAGCAACTGAACGGCACTGGAGAATGAGTTTGCTGAGTTTACCAAAAAGATTGCC